CAGTGCTTGGACTGACGCCGCGGGAGGGGGCGGTCAGGGGAAGAGGGAGGGGGTGGCAGGAGGGGCGGGAGGGTGCGGGGGTGGCGGAGAAGAGGGAGGTGGAGAGGGAGGTGGTGGCGAGGGAGGCGGAGAGGGAGGCGGCGGGAGGTGGCGGAGAGGGAGGCGGAGACAGAAAGGAGGAGAGGGATGGCGGGCAGGGGAGCGGCGGAGAGGGAGGAGGCGGAGAGGGAGGAGGCGGAGAGAGGGATGGCAGGAGGCGGAGAGGAGGAGGCGGAGAGGAGGGCGCCTGGGTGCGAAAAGTGGACGACGACGTTGAGTGAGCCGCACACTTCGGTGAGGAAGTCCTCCTCGCCGATCTCGCGGTACTCGCCGTGCCCCTGCGCAGTGGGCCACGAGCTCGGTTTGCGTCGCTTTGGGCGGCGGGGCGGAGCGACCGGATTCGCTCGCGGCGAGGCACACACGCGCCCGGGCGAGGGTGAGAGGGAAAGAGGGCGAGGAGAGAGGGCTGGGAAGGTGCGGGTTGCTGCCTGCGCCGCGTGCTGCTTCTCCGCGTTGAAGCGCGCCTTGAGCGCCGCCAAACGCTTCTCCTGCAGCGACTGCATCTCGTCGTCGTCGTCCCACTCGTCGTCGTCTCCTTCGGCGACCTCCTCCTCCACCTCAATCTCCCTGTGGCTGGCTATCCGCCGCGCCTCCTCCGCCGCCGCCGCCTCCGCCGCCTCCGCCTCCATGTCCGCGCGCAGGTTCCGCTCCGCCGCGTTCTGCGTGATTTTCATCGCCGCGTCATTCAGCCGGTCCATGTCGCTCTTGCCGCTCGGCTCGCCGCCGCCGACGGAGCTGGGGTTGGCCATGCCGCGCAGCATGTCGCGGGCCTGGCCCGAGCGGCCCTGCCCGCCGGCGTTTGGGTTGAGGAAGTTGGCCATCGTTGGAGCGCTAAGGACTGCACAACGGCCAGCGCGGGTCGAGCAACGGCGCGAACGCCAGCCCGGAAAAAGAATTATTACGCCACAACCCTCTCTCACAGCACACTGGCACGACAAGGGCGCGGACTGGCGCGGACTGGCACACACACCGGCTCACCACCGGAGCCGCCTAAGCGACTCCGTTAAGAACGGCAATGCATTCCGCACCGTGCACAATGCCGCTCTCCCCGCACGCTAGCTCGTTCACCGTCTGCCACGCCACGGCGCCGCAAAGTCCTGCTCCTTCCCTCGTCTCGCCCTGCGCGTCTGCTCCGCCTCCCCGTCGTCCGCCCTGAGCTGTGTCGTCTGGCGACGGGTCCTCCATAGTCGGTCGAGGTCGCCGGGGTCGCCGCCCTCCTCGTGCCTCTTCCCAACGTTCCCTCGGCGGCCGATGCCGTCTGCTCCGGCTCCCCAGTCCCCGGTTGTGCCCTGCTCTCGTCTGCGCTAGTTTCTGTTTCTTCTTCGTACATCCTCCTGCTACGTAGTAGGAGCGGCCGCACATTGCTCGGTACCCCCCCTGCACTTCTAAGCCCGTCCCTGCTGCTAGGGGGACTAGCACTAGCCAATACATTTCACAACTTTTGAGCTCTCTGACTACTAGTTCGAGCAAGATCCGCTTCTCAACCCTCGCCACGCGGGCACGCTGAGCCTCCCCCGCGCCCTTGCTCAGATTGCAGCCGGCGTGCACCAGCTGCGCGTTTCTCCGCCGTTGTGCGCCCACCCTGTAAAGGCCGACACTCGTAATGGGAGAAACACACACGGGGAAAATTCCTGTGGATTTTTCTTTTTTTCTGTCCTCGCTGTGCTGAAGACACACATGAGGCGCCACTCTCTCTCACACACCCCATTCTCCTCTCGCACGGCGACTCGCTCGGATTTCGGCGGAACTATCTGGAGGCCCAGTCAGCAGCTCGAGGCAACTGCACATATGAGACACATATCAGAACAGACATCAAGCAGGCCTGGGCTAAACCCAGGCGTGATTGATGGAACCACGTCGGTGGGGACCACGTCGCGCGATCGCCACAAACTCAAACAACTCTAACACTCACACGTCATTTGGGGCCTGGAGCCTTCACGCGCGCGATTGATGGAACCACGTCGGTGGGACCACGTACGTCGCGCGATCGCCACAAACTCAAACAACCCTAACACTCACACATCATTTGGGGCCTGGAGCCCTGTTCACGCGCGCGCGAGACGTGCAGACAGGGTTGCCAGGTGAGAGCGAATGGCGCGGTTCACGCCTCGCACAACAGAGAGAGAGATGCGCTCTGCATGGTGGGACATAAAAGAGAGCGAGTACTTGGGCGAGTAGGCCGTGCGGTCAACGCTGCCGCGCGCGACTTTGCGCGCGAGGCGGCGCAGCTTGAGAACGGCGGTGGGCGAGAAGCCGCCGCCGAACGTCTCGTGGAGCAGCAGGTTGAAGTTGTTGCGCTTGACCTGGCTGCCCGCGCGCCTTGCAGCCGATGTTTTCTTTAGGCGGCGGGCCTTCTCTTCGGTGTTGCCAAAGGCGTAGGAGTGGCCAACGGAGGCGGGCGTGCCGCCACTCGAGGCGTTGCCAACGCCCGGCGAGGAGGTCTTGAGGAGGGGCGTCCAGAGCTTGATTTCATTCACTCGACGGAGGTAGAGGAGGGGCCAAAGCCAGGACTGCCGCCGTCCACTCCGCCCGCGCCGCCGCCCGCGCCGCCGCCCGTGCCCGCCCGCTTGGCGAGCCTCCGCGTGGCGAGCCAAGTGTGAGAGCACCTCGGCGAGGGCACGACCTCGCTTCTGCTGCAAGCCCGGGATGGCCATCTGGCCACCCGTGATGCGGCAGCAGCAATAGCGGCACAGCATGGGTCGGGCGGGTGTTGGGGCTCGACGTGCAGCGCACCTTTGGGCTCTCCTCGGGCACCAGGCAGCCGTGGCGAGGGGCTGTCACACCTGTCACACCTAGCGCCCGTTGCAAAAAGCCGCCGTAAATACGTTCGGATCGCTCTCGACCAATGAGCTTTTCGATGGCGCGGCGGCGGCGGCGGCGGCGGCGGCGGCGGCGGCGGGAACGGCGGCGGCAGCAGCGGTGGCGGCGGGACAGAAACGGAGGAGGAGGAGCGGAGCAACGGCGACGGAGTGAGTGGCAAACAGCGGCAGAAGAGGCCGGCCTCGAGAGCCCGAACAACGAAGCCCGATCGACAGCGAAGGAAGGGCTGCGGTAGGGGCGATGGCGACCACGGCAGCGACAGTGACTTCTACCGCGGGCCGGCACCAACTTGACTCGTAGATCGGCGTCTCACGGCCGGGCCGCGGGACGGGGAGGGAGGGGTCGATCCGTAAATCTGTAAATTCGTAAAATAAAGCCAAAAGGAGTGCCCACCACACCCATCTACCGTGACAACAACAAACGAGCTGTGGGGCAGGCTGCGAGCGTGGCGACGAGGAGGTTGGAACACGGCAATGCCCGAGACCTGACTCTCGAGACAGACTGCTTGTCTGCTTCATCAACGCGGCTCGACTATGCTGGTACAGTCGTTTATTGTTTGTTCTTCCTCGTTAATTTGGCTTGCCGATATGCATCCAAAGTTCCACGCTAGCTCCTCCTTGGTCACGTCTATCTTTTCGCAGTGTCTCGCGAAAAAGGAACAAAGAAAATTCTTTCCCCCGGCGGCCTTTGCCTGACATCCACACAAGGAAGCGCCATTCACCGCACAACTGTGAACGGTGACCCGAAGATCTCAACTTCTACGAAGGAGCGAGTCGTAAGGCAAGCCAGCACTTTCCTCGTCCGCTCGCGCTTGCCGCGCCGCATTGCGCCCGACTATGCAGCCGCGAGCTGCACACCTAGACCCCCGCGACGCCTATTGCTCACGGAACCCGCCGCCCCCTCACCACCCCCACCATGCGATGCGCCCTCGCTCGCGGCGCGAGCGGCTGCACCCCCCTCGGCCTCGCACCGCCTGCCTACTCCCGCTCGCAGGTGAGCTGCTGCCATCGAGGAAGCCACGAGACGCGTCCGCTGCTGCCCATTCCCCACCCTTGTCCCGCGCGAACCCGTCCGACCGCCCTCCCTCTCTTACGGCAAGAGAGCGATTCGCTCTCGCTGCTCGCCAATCGCCTCCCGGCTCCAGTCCGAGAAGACGCGAGAGAGCGTGCCGGCGGCCTCGTCTCGACGCTCACGCCGCGACGTGCGGTCCGTAGGCGCGTCGGCGTTCTCCCGCTCGACACTCTCGTCCAAAACCAGTCATCTAGAGCTCGCGTTAGTCCTCTGCACAGAGAGATGCGAAACCTGATGCCATCCGCGATTTTCTTTTCCCTTACCCGAGGCTCTAAGGCGAGGCTTGGGTACTGGTGGGACGGGGGCGGGGGTGGCGGTAGGGGTGGGGGTGGAGGGTGGAGGGTGGGGGATTGGAGATGTGTGAGATTTGCCCGAGATTGCCCGAGATTTTCTCATACCCCATAGACCCTCATACCCCCATAGACCCCCATATACCCCCATATACCCCCTAGACATCTAAACCAGTTTTTCACCCTCTTTCACATGGTCGCGATCCCGTAGGCGCTTGCCTTTCCTGCTATGGGCCGAGATTGACCTGAGATTGACCCCGCCGAGATTGACCCGCCTGCTCGCATCTCTGCTACATCTAGAGATGTCCGCAGCCGCGAGGGCCACTCGAGCGCTGGCCTGCACCTCCCATCGAGCGCTGGCCGGCACCCTCCATCGGGACACCACCTTCAACCGCTTCTTGACTCTCTGCAGGAATTCATTCGATCAACATGCTCAAACTCGAGTTCGTGCCGGCCGCCGGTGACAAGCTCGTGCTCAAGCTCTCTCCTCCGCCGCCGCTTGCTGACAAGCAGGTGTGCGTTAATTTGCAGTGGCTGAGGGAGGAGTATGCACACGCGCACCGCTGCAACGCACGCAACGCTGCGCCTTCCCTGCAAGACGACCCTCTCGCGTTCTGTGGCTGACAGGCGTCTCTGGCGGACAACACGGCCGTCGTCGACTCTGACGGAGGTAACACCGTCGGCATCCCCTCCAAGGATGGCATCAACACCGGCACCGGCGGCACCTGCACCGCCAACACCGGCACTGGCAACGTCCCGTCCGAGGGCGAGCCCGCCGGCTCGCTCGCCGGCGTCCACTTTGCGGGCGTTTCGCTCGACGCCGTGCCCGAGGCGTCCCGCCTTACGTTCACCGTCGACGATCCGGCCGGCGCCAAGGCCGTCGGCATCCCGCCCGAGAGCGAGCCCAGCCCGCTCAAGGACGGCATTGACGCGGGCGGCGGCAACGTCGCGGGCGAGTCTTCGCCGATGAAGTCCTTCGCGAAGGTCGGAATCGTGCCGGCTGACGATGGCCGCATCACGATCGTCATCTCCGAGTCGGTGTCGCCTTCGCTCCTCGGAGCCAAGGTGCGCGTGCGCTCGCCAGGATCGTTATCATCCCTCTCCCGTCTCCGAAAGCCTGCGCGTACTCTGCCTCGCCCACAGGCGTGCGGCGTCAAGAACGTCAACATCTCCGTGGCAAAGTCTGGCACGGAGGACGTTCTCAAGAAGGACCCGGCCGCGGAAAAGGCGCCTGACGCGGGCCCGGTCGACTCGGACAAGGCCACGGCCATGTTCGCCGCCCACGAGCAGGGGCCGCACGCCGTCTTCTGGTCCAAGTTTACGCGCCCGACCGGCCCACCGACGGCCCCCAACGGCGTCATCAAGAACGACCCGGCGCTCAAGCCGGTCATCAAGATCGACACGGCTCTCAAGCAGGCGGCGGTTTGCGGCGAGACGCTGCCGTCGATCAAGGAGTTTCCGGAGGAGGAGCCCGCCCCGGCGGCGAGCGCCGCATTCTGTGCCGTGCGTCTTCGGACCCACTGACTGACCCCATCCCGCGTTCGATGCGTAGGGCGAGCCCGACTGGATCGTCTCGAACTCGCGCAACAAGACAGAGCGCAAGGGCGAGGTCACGTCCACGAAGGTCTCCAACAAGTACGCTCTGCTCGACGACGTCGAGACGAACGTCAAGGCGGAGACCGA